ATATTAACCGATCTTTTCCAAAAACAATAGGGGTCTTCATTGGCCAGAACCCATCCTACATGCAAAATTTCGTGAAGATTGGTCCATAACTGTGGCCTGTATCGTGTTTACAAATTATAATGGACAGACGGACGGACACACATGTCTAGATCGACTCAGCTAGTCGAGATATGACGATCGGTATACTTAAAGGTGGGTCTAGGACCAATATTTCGCGGCGTTACAAACTTTTGGGGCTGCACAAAGCTATAATACCCTGACAACATAGTTGTGTAGGGTATAATGAACGTCGTTTTCGATCCACACCATTTACATTTTTACGTTTCTTCTTGCAGGTTCGTAATCAGCGTCCTCGAATTTCTTATCTATATATATAAAAGAGCTTAGTGTTAAGTGAGAGAGTGAGTGAGTGACTGACAGATCATCGCCCAGACGAAACGGCTAAAGCTAGAAGCTTGAAATTTTGAGTGTGGGTTAGTGTTGGTGTGTAGGCGTGAGATAAGGCTGGGTTTTTGGAAATTCGAACTAGAAGGGTACGAAAAGTACTAAAATGTACCATATATGGTACCATTTGTATTAGGCGAACGGGAAGAGCTAGAATTCTGAAATTTGGAATGTGGGTCACTGATGTAAAGTTAGGAAGATGTACAAAAGCGTTTTTGGAAATTCGTACTAGAACGGTACGAAAAGTACTAAAAAGTACTAAATGTGATACCATTTGTATTTGGCGAACCGGTAGAGCTAGAACTCTAAAATTTGGATTGGTGGTCGCTGATTGTAGGATAGATGTACCAACGTGTTTTTGGAAATTCGAACTATAAATATCCGAAAAGTACTAAAATGTACTTAATTTTGTACAATTTCGTAGCATGTGAATTTATAGAGCTAATAACTTGAAATTTGGAATGCGAATTAGGGATGAGATGTGTACGCATATGTACGAAAAGTACGATATGATACTATATTTGGTACAAATTAAATTTGGAGATACAAATCGAGCTGGAATCCTGAAATTTGAAATTAACATTACCGTCGGAGTGTAGGATTGGGAATGTACGTAGTTTTGGAATTTTTTTACCCAGTTTCAGTAATTTATATTCATTGGTACTAAATGGTACTAAATTTTAAACAATTTGAATTTTATGCGAACCAATAGAGCTAGAATCATGAAATTTGGAGTCAGGATCACTGTTGGGGTGTAAGATCGGGATATGTAGGAAGTTTTAAAAATGTTTACTAATGTGTACTAAATTTGGTACAATTTGAATTGTGGGTGAACCGACAGAGTTGGAATCCTAAATCTTGGATTTAGGATCACTCTGGGGGTGAAAGTTTGGGTTAAGTGGGACGTTTTGGAAATTCGTACTACTGTGTACTAAATTTGGTACAATTTGAATTGTGAGTGAACAGAAAGGGTTGTAATCCTGAAACTTGGATTTAGCATCTATGTTTGGGGTAAGTAAGAAGATTTCGAAATTCGTACTACTGTGTACTTAATATCGTACAATTTGAACTGTAGGTGAACCGATAGAGTTGAAATCCTGAAACTTGGATTTAGGATCACTGTGGGGTGTAGGATTGGGATATTTAGGAAGTTTTGGAAATTGGTACAACTATGTACTAAATTTGGTACAATTTGAATTGAGGGTGAACCGATTGAGTTGAAATCCTGAAACATGGATTTAGGATCACTGTGAGGGTGTAGGATTGGGGTCTGTAGGAAGTTTTGGAAATTCGTACTGCAGTGTACTAAATTTGGTAAAAATTGAATTGTGAGTGAACCGATAGAGTTGTAATCCTGAAACTTGGATTTAGGGTCACTGTGGGGTTGTAGGATTGGGGTATGTAGGAAGTTTTGGAAATTGGTACTACTATGCACTAAATTTTGTACAATTTGAATTAAGGGTGAACCGATGGAGTCGGAATCCTGTAACTTGGATATAGGATCACTGTGGGGGTGTAGGATTGGGGTCTGTAGGAAGTTTTGGAAATTCATACTACTGTGTACTAAATTTGGTACAATTTGAATTGAGGGTGAACCGATAGAGTTGGAATCCTGAAACTTGGATTTAGGATCACTGTGAGGGTGTAGGATTGGGGTCTGTAGGAAGTTTTGGAAATTCGTACTACAGTGTACTAAATTTGGTACAAATTGAATTGTGAGTGAACCGATAGAGTTGTAATCCTGAAACTTGGTTTAGGGTCACTTTGGGGTTGTAGGGTTAGGGTAAGTTGGAGGTTTTGGAAATTCATACTACTGTGTACTAAATTTGGTACAATTTGGATTGTGGATGAACCGATAGCGTTGGAATTCTGAAACTTGGATTTAGGATTACTGTGGGGGTGTGGTTTTAGTAAGAAGTATTGGAAATTCGTACTACTCTGTACTAAATTTGGTACATTTAAATTTGAATTTGGAATCATTATGAGGGTGTATAATCGGGGTATGCAGGAAGTTTTGTTGGAAGTAAAAGGGTACGAAAAGTACTAAAATGTAACAAATATGGTACCCTTTTTATTAGCGAACGTGAAGACCTAGAATTCTGAAATTTGGAATGTTGGTCACTAATGGAAAGTTAGAAAGATGTGCAAAAGGGTTTTTGGAAATTCGACCGATAAGTGTACTAAAGGTACTAAACTTTACTGAATTTAGTTCCTATTGTATATATATTGAACATATATAGCTGGAATCTTGCATTTAAATGGAATACAGGTTGGGAAGTGGTGTTGATGTACGGAAATGGTTTAAGACATTCGTACTTATGTGTATAAAAGTGTAAAATGGTACTAAATTCCGTACTAATTGCCCTCAGTTGAGTGTGTAGAGATGGAATCGTGATAATCGGAATTAGCTTTAAAAAATCGTACTTATTTGTACGAAAAGTACTGAATGGTACTAAATTTGGTGGAAGTTGGATTTAGGTGAACAGATAGAGCTGAAGTCTTCAAATTGGGAATAAAAATGACTGTTGGAGTGTAGGACTGAGGTAGATTATGAAATTCGTACTTATTGGTACGAAAGGTATATGTGGTACTAAATTTAGTACAATTTGGATGTTGCTTGAAAGGATAGAACTGAAAACCTGAAATTTGGAATTAAGGTTTCTGTTGAAGATTGAGCTATAGAGACATCTTTGGAAACTCGTATTAATGTGTACGAAAAGTACTAAACGGCACTAGATGGATTTGGGTGAACGGAGAGAGCTGGAAACCCATAATTTCGACTAATGGTTGATGTTTGAATATAGAATTGAGATATGGAAGCATATTACCTATGTGTACTAAATAGTACTATATTTGGTACAACTTGATTACGTGTGAACGGATAGAGCTGGACTCCCGAATTTTTTAATTAAAATTACTGTTGAAGTGTAGTATTGAGCTATGGAGACAACTTTGGAAACTCGAATTTATGTGTACCAATAGTAAATAGAATAGAAAATTCACTTAATTTTGAATAATTTGAATTTGGGTAAGGGAGAGAGCTGAAAACCTAAAATTTAGAATGTTGGTCATTGACAGAGAGTTAGAAAGAAGGACCAAAGGGTTTTTGGTACTAAATTTAGTGGAGGTGACGGTATAGAGGTAGTCTTGAAAATGTATAATTATGTGTATGTATAATGTATAATTATGTATAATTATATGTACATGTGGAACCTGTACGTTTTTCCTAATGTGTGGATTTCGGAAAATAGTGCTTATGTGTATGAAGAGTACTTAATGGTAATAAACTTGATATTAAATGTACGAATAGAGGTGGAATTCAGAACTACAGTACAACGATTTCCATATGAAATATTTTATTATTCCTGTTCCGCATACGAAGTAGCGGGTACTTTGCTAGTATGTGATATTTACTTACTTCATAAAACAATGGTCTAATTATGACCAAAAAAATGGGATCTCTGGCCCATTCCACCTTATGGTGAAGGACATAAAAATGGTTTAATAACTTAGTTTGGCATATGTATAATTATGTATAATTATATGTACATGTGGAACCTGTACGTTTTTCCTAATGTGTGGATTTCGGAAAATAGTGCTTATGTGTATGAAGAGTACTTAATGGTAATAAACTTGATATTAAATGTACGAATAGAGGTGGAATTCAGAACTACAGTACAACGATTTCCATATGAAATATTTTATTATTCCTGTTCCGCATACGAAGTAGCGGGTACTTTGCTAGTATGTGATATTTACTTACTTCATAAAACAATGGTCTAATTATGACCAAAAAATGGGATCTCTGGCCCATTCCACCTTATGGTGAAGGACATAAAAATGGTTTAATAACTTAGTTTGGCATATGTCGAATTCCCGTCCTATACTTTGGAAACCACGAAATGGACAACCCTGTACTAATTGTTTCACTTTGTGGTATGATTGATATTCCATCACGCAATATATAATCTCTTTATTTTACTTCCATCGAATGAGTACGTTCTTTTTATTTGGGATTTTCTTTAATTATATAATATATACTAAATCTAATATTACTTATGTTTTTGGAAAAGAAAAAAATCTTTTCATTTCATGTCTAAATCTATAGGTAGCTTAACTTATAATTACAATTCCCATTTAATTAATTATTATTATTTTTTGTTGTGTAAATGCAAATACTTAAATATATTCTCAATATATATTAGAATGTCATTGTCACTATCGAAGATTTCCCACTGATGTTCGGATAAATGATGTGGTATTTGAATTTTTCGCCCAGTTTTTCAAAGACATTCCATTTGCTTAAGTCTCGTTTTTGATTTTCACTGAAAGGCTTGCATTTACCATAAAGGAAATTTTTTTGATTTCACTTTTTAATTAATTACTTCTGCCGGCGCTCTAATTTAAATATATGGAAGATTGCTAAATTTTGTGATCTATGGAGTTTCAATCATTTCACAATTCGTTTCTAATTTCGTTTATTTGCTTTTCCTAATTTCTCCTCCTTCTCGTTTTATGGCTACATACTTAAACCCACACATCCTGGGTTTATTGTTCTCATTCTCATTCGTGTAATATGGCACTGAGACGTTCTTCGACAGCCACTTTCCGTGATTTCCAGACAAATTCACAAACGGCAACGACACAAGCCACACCCATGCCGCCCATTAGAACAACGAAAACGCCTCCTACATTTGCCAAACCCAGTTCATTTGCTGCCGATGAAGACTTGGAAGTTTCTACACGACATTTGCCACCGCCACGTTTTTCTTTCCACCATTTTGTTTTGAGAATGTGTAGTTTACCCTCTTCCTGAAGTTTTAGAATGACACTGTTGATGGCGGTGCGATATGGGGAATCTGAAATGGAAATTCGAAGTTTAGTTTTATTTTTGACAATTTAATCATATTGTTGACTTACTCGGTGGTGTCGCAATGCCATAGGATTTTGTGTCCAACATTCCACCCACTTGTGTTAGGTCACAGTTACGTTCTGTCACATATTCAATGGATGTCGATTCCATAAGGAAAGCATAATTTCCTACAAAACATCAAAAAAATTCAAGAAAATTAAGGGATTATTCTTGTAAGGAAAGTAGTAAAGTCGGTCTGGGCCGACTATATAATACCCTTCACCACTTTGGGTATATTCTACATATGTATCCTAACAGACGTCGCGTTTTTTTTATATACCTATATCTGAACCGATTTCAGGGAAACTTGCCAGAGACTAATTTATATTACTTCAGTACGTTGTGTCAATCGGCCTAGCTATGGATCTTTTCACGAAGCTTAGCAACATCATTCTAGACTTACTTCCATATCATATACCAAAATTCGTACAAATCGAAAGATATATAGGGTTTTTGGTGCACCAATTACCTTAAATCGGATGAAAATATGCATGGAAACTATATCTAAATCTGAACCGATTTTCATGAAACTTAGCACTCGTCATTCTAGGCTTAATTCAGTACGATATGACAAATTTCGTGGAAATCGAATGATTTTCAGAGACTTTGGTGCACCAATTACCTAAAATCGGATGAATATATGGGAGCTATATCTAAATCTGAACCGATTTTGACGAAACTTTGCACACATCATTCTAGACTTAATTCAGTATGCTATGCCAAAATTCGTGCAAATGAAAATATTTTCAGGGACTTTGGTGCACCACTTAACTAAAATCTGGCGAAACTATCTATGGTAGCTATATCTAAATCTGAACCGATTTTCATGAAACTTAGCACACATTATTATAGACGCAATTCAGTACGCTATGCCAAATTTCGTGCAAATCGAAAGATATATAGGGTCTTTGGTGCACCAATTACCTTAAATCGCATTAAAATATATATAGGAGCTATATCTACATCTGAACCGATTTTTACGAAAATTTGCACACATCCTTCTAGTCTTAATTCAGTACCCTATGCAAAATTTCGTGCAAATCGAAAGGTATATAGGGACTTTGATACACCATTTACCTTAAATCTGACGAAGATATAAATGGTAGCTATATCTAAATCTGAACCAATTTTCACGAAACTTAACACACATCAATCTAGACCTTATTCATTACGCTGTGCCAAATTTCGTACAAATCGAAAGATATGTAGGGACTTTGGTGCACCATTTAGCTTAAATCGGATGAAAATATATATGGGAGCTATATCGAAATCTGAACGGACTTTTCCCAATTTCAATAGGGCTTGTCCTTGAGCCAAACAAGTGAGCTCTGCCAAATTTCATCCAATTCGGATCATAAATGCGACCTGTACTTTGTTTACAATTTAACACGGACAGACGGATGGACAGACATGCATAAATCGACTCAGAAAGTGATTCTATGCGTATTCTCAAAAGGAACCATGGGTTTATCTCGATTATTTTTGCCTGTTACAAACATATGCACAAAGACATAATACCCTGTACCACCGTGTGGTGAAGGGTATAAAAATGGGCCCACATAGAAATCTTCTATACTCTCCTTCCACCTCATAGTGTGTGGTACAGATATTTACCCTATCCGAAATTAACGACGTTTTTGCTTCTTACTATTCCTTACCTTTTCCCTTAGCAACTCGTTCAACACCTTCACCATTACTTGACGTAAACACAGAAGGTCTTGCCGATTCCATGAAAGACCACATTCTCTGATAAGTGGAGATTTTAGAATCCTGTAAATATTACAAAGGATTAAAATTCAAATAGTACCCAATATTCCCAACTTCGTAACATACCCTAAAGAAAGCTGCTGTACTGCCACCTTTCAAGGCACCATATTTGATGCGGGTCTGTTTGGCCAAATCTTCAGCACTTTCAATGGGGGAATCCATGCGTTCGACCGTAAGGAAAGCAGCCAAATTGGCAGTATACGATGAAATCATTATCAAGGTAAAGAACCACCAAATACCAGCTACCATACGAGTCGACAGGGCTCTGAAAATAAATACGGGATTAAATAATCATACATTTTGAAATGTGTCCTTCCATCTTACTTGGGCAGAAAATCACATCCTTGCTGCATCAGCGAACCAATTGCAAACCACATGCAATTCAAGAGAGTAAATTGACTTTCCACTTTTTCGCCATGTGGATCGGTATACGATGGCCATTCATAGGGTGTAAATCTGAAATGGAAAGTGAATTTTAATAAATCTAAACATTTATTTGAGAATTTCATTGTAACTCACTTGGCCAATATAAAGAGTAGCACCGAAACACCCAAATATGCCGTGGCCATATAAATCCAAACATCCAACGATAGAGGTGATAGGAACGAAAATAGATTCGGTGGTTGTTTCACGGGTTTGCGATATAATATCGAAACACCCAGATTCATAAATGGTGTGGTAAAATCAACAGCTTGTTCTCTTTCAAAGGTGATTGTCAAATCTGCAATTGCCAAATCGGCTCGCTGTTCTAGCAGTTCTCGAATCATACCATTCCATTCGCTGTAAATAAATAAAAATTAGATTCGCACATATATGAAGGGTTATAATTAGGTAAAAAAGTCGTCAGGTCCGGTCGGAGCAAATGAAAATCCAATATATAATATAACAGCCAACTTGGTTTAAAAAAGTGGCGAAATTTGCGATATACCTTTATATGATACTTTTTAAAAGGAATATTTTCTACTGGGAACCCAAAATAGAGAATTACAATAATTTCACAAGGATTAATTAGTCTTTTTGTCTTTTTTGCTAGCGTCGTTCATTGTTTTATTTTTTATTCCAGCTATGTATATAATTTGTCTACTGTAGCCTGTCCTAGATGATGAGAATGCCATCTACAGTTGCATAGAGAAAACGCTTCTTTGAATTGTTACAGTCGTTGGTGACTTTGTTTATTTAATGATATTCCTATTCCGGATGCCGAAGTTCCAGTGAGGAGTTATCATGCCCTAAAAAATGTCTCCTGGAAATTGTGTGCAGTGGTTGGGGTCTTTGCTATCGTTATATTAGTTCCGTTCCAGAACCTAAAAGAAATTTGGTCTAGTAAAAATGGTAAACAGGAATGCCTACTTCTGAGTGGCTGTTATGTTGATTTTGAAGTATTGTCATATAATTTTTGCATATTTACTAGATTTGCGTTCCCGAACTTTTCAAATTATTTTGTACTCTGAGAGTAATTTTGAAATGTTTCCCTTTTACTAGATTTACTATTAAAAATTACCTCTGTGCGGCGCTATCTCCTACCATTTCTATTCTTAACTGCGGATGCCTTTAATCTGGAAGGGGAAGAAGATGTAAGGTGATTTTTATAAACTTTTGACTACCGTTTTAAATTAACTTTCCCTTCTCTGGTGGGATTCGAATCCGGAACACGTAGGCTTGTGGTCTGATTCCAGCAATAAATACATTTTAAATAGGTCCTATAAAATACACTACATCCTGTACCCACTTTATTGTCGAAGGTCGTTTAGTGCCTGGTACCAAAGGGAAATTCTTACTAAATGACCTATTTTGCTGAATAAAAAGACGACCATTTGCTTTGAATTGTTTCTTCAACTAATAGTTTTCAACGAAGGCGAATTTAACTTAACGTCTATGAATGTTTGTCAGCTAGTCTAAAGATTGACTTCATGTCGAAGAAATTCTGTAAGCTTGTCCACAGAGAAAAAAAATTACAAGCAAATATTATCAGTGAGCGGAGCAGAATAGTCGGACGGGGCCGACCATACGATACCCTACACAACTACCACGGAATGCTAACTTTCTGCGGATTTATTCCGAGCCTGGGCAATATTTCGTGATAGTTGCACCCTGTTGCCCGATTAGAGGTCAACAGCACCTCTTCCTTACACTGACATATTTTCCGAATATTACTAATATTCCGTACAGCCTTTTTAATTAATTGTCCAGATTGCCTTTACAGTGGTCTGTGTTCGACTTTCAATTATCTCGAAGATACTCAAAAAAGTAAGTTTTTGGTCCAATTCATCCCAAAATTATTATCTGATCATTGCCGAAAATTATAGCCGATGTTCTTGACCATATCTTGATTCTCATGTAAAATTTAAAAGCGATCAGCGCTATATTTCAGCCCTCTAGTCTGGTAATGTGTTACTAAATAATATATGAATACATAAGCACCTGTGAATATGTAAGTGTAACTCCCACATCCGAGCACATACGACAATATAATTTGTATCAATTTAAAGGACAACCACTCCATCGGGTCTATGTCCTTCAGGAGTAAATATATAGGCTCTAGAATACAAATATTGTCATTTTTCACACAAGAGCGACCGATCTGTATCAAAACAGGCATGCTTATTCTTTGGCCCGATCCCCTTCTCCATGTAAAAATTTGCGATGTTTGGGTCATAATTGCGGCCTCTGGAGCGACCAGAAAATCCGATAAAAATAAAGTTCTTGGTCCATTTCATCCCCTAAATATTAACCGATCTTCATTGACCAGAACCCATCCTACATGCAAGATTTCGTGAAGATTGGTCCAATAACTGTGTTTAAATTCCCGATGTTTGGGTCATAATTGCGGCCTCTAGAGCGACCAGAAAACCCGATAAAAATTAAGTTTTTGGTCCATTTCATCCCCTAAATATTACCCGATCTTTACCAAAAACAATAGGGGTCTTCATTGGTCAGAACCCATCCTACATGCAAAATTTCGTGGAGATTGGTCCATAACTGTGACCTGTATCGTGTTTACAAATTATAATGGACAGACGGAAGGACACTCATGTCTAGATCGAATCACCTGGTCAAGATATGACGATCGGTATACTTAAAGTAGGTCTAGGTCCAATATTTCGTGGCGTTACACACTCTTGGGGCTGCACAAAGCTTTAATACCCTGACAACTTAGTTGTGTAGGGTATAATAATGCTGACTCAGGATTAGACTACGAAAAGTCGACTCTTGTGGTGGTGAACATTCATTCCGAGAGAGGTTACATTTTAACCTTAAGACTGCAGACGGAATTGATGAGATGATAGTCACTCACCGGTACCATCGAACTTATGCCTCTTTCCGGAACAAATCTCTCCAGAAATGTTGAAGTATTTACAATAACATTGAGGAAATTATATCTGGTAGAGAGAAAATACCCGCATAAATACTAAAAAATGTATCCTTACTTTAAGAAAATTGAGTCAGCTAGACTGATGATTGTCTTTACTTGTGGGAAATAGCAGTATACATGTATAGACCCATGGTTCCTTTTGAGAACATGCATAGAATCACTTTCTGAGTCGATTTATGTATGTCCGCCCATTTATGTTAAATTGTAAACCATAATCCGAATTGGATGCAATTTGGTATAGGTCACTTATTTGGTACACGGACGAACCCTATTAAAATTTGTGAAAATCGGATAAGATTAGGTATAGTTCCCATATATATTTTCGTCCGATTTCATTTGGCGCACCATAGACCCTAAATTTTTTGCATGACATACTGAATTGAGTCCGAAATCGTAAAAATCTGTTCAGATTTAAATAAAGCTTCCATATATATTTTCGTCCGATTTTATGTAAATGGTGCATCAAACCCCCTATATTATTTTCGATTTGCAAGAAATTTTACATGACATAGTTAATTGAGTCTAGAATGATATCTGCTAAGCTTCGGTATATATCTGTTGATATCTCTTCAGATTTAGATATAGCTCCCACATATATTTTTTCCGTTTTTATGTAAATTGTGCACTTAAGACCAAAAGTTTGTTAATATAAATTAATCTCTGGCAAGTTTCGTTGAAATCGGTCCAGATTTAGACATAGCTTCCATATATATTTTCGTTGGATTTTAGGTAAATGGTGCACAGATAGACACGAAATGTTTATATATTTCCATCAGACGATTGGGATTACATTTTGAAAAGTGTGGCCAAAAGAGTTTGCTCTAAATCGATTTACATAAATGTATCCAATTGTACGACTCTAAACTTTCGCGAATTAAATGAAATTTATCATAGCTTCCATAAAGGCATTTTGAACAATTATGGAAGTGAAGTCAAAACATGAAACTGTATTGAACATTTATTGCATGGAAGCCGGAATGCCAAATTACAATCACTTCGGCTAGAAAAAATGGCGAAATATTCATATGAGCCAACACATGAACTTATTTCGAACATTATCTGCAAAAGTGTTTTTCGCTTACCAAAACCCCGGAATACCAAAATATTGTCCTTTGAAAATCCCACTCTCTCTTAAGTACTGCGATCTCTATCGTAATTCCAATAGACAGACGATTCGGACTAAATCGCCATATAATTTTATTCTGATAATATTCCAACCGAAGTGGTTGTTGTAATTTAACAAGGTGAAAACAATTTTACGGAAAAATGTCGACATGGGTGATGGATAATTTAAAAGATATGACGAAATACACACTCGGAACATGTAAGGTCGCCGTGAAATAGTCACAATTTCATCTTAGTCTAAATAACATCACTCTAAGTGTCCCATAATAAAATAAACAGGGTTTAAAATTCCCATTGAATATTTACGTTTTATATGATTTTATAACTTACCCTGTTAATTTATTGAAGCTGCCATAACTTCCGTCCGGAACCAACTGAATTTTATAATTAAAACCCAGCGATTTGGAAACTTCGTGTATTAAATCTACAGCATAACCTTCAAATTGATCATTGCCACTCAACGAGACCACTGATTCCTTTCTCATGCAATATGGATTACTCTGTAATAAGTGAAAATAAGACGTCAATAAATACTCAATATATTCTCCCCCTTCTTTTCTTACCAATATTGTTGTTACGATTAGCGTTTTATTTTTTAAATTCGCCTCGATTTCCTGCTGCTTCTGTCCAAAAGTCCTTGTAAAGTTCACTCCATCCGGCAGAGTGGAATTCCATGTACCAACTTTACGTATCCCTCCCGGACTCAATTCCACAATGTCCATTATAAAATCACTACGAAAACCTTGATGATCGAATTTGATGACGTTTGTCAAACCCTTCATTTCGACAATTTTCATATAATTGATCAGACTAAAGCCATGCTGCCATGTATTCTGCCCATCACAACTCAAAGGGTTTATATCGATCTGCTGCGATGTATCCAAATCATGTAGAGCTTTGGCGAACAAATGCACAGCATCATACATAAGAGCTGTTTCCGTTTTAATTGTTGTTAAATTTGCCGAACGCAAAACACCCTTATCCTCGATACTCCATTGGCGCACAACATCATTGACAATTTTCTCATTGATTAACCGAAATCCGGTGATGTTTGTCCCACCATAACGAAACTCATCCAAATTGATGGCATGCAAATCGAGCGATGTTATTAAATAGCTGTGATAATCACTCATCAGGCCAACTTGTTGTGCCTGCTTCAAAACTTCGTAGATTTTATCCGCTGAACAGTCCAGCACAATGTGCGATTCTGCGGTGTTTTTAATTTGCTTCAACATTGGCCTGCAAAGAGAGAAGTAAATAATTAATCTATGCAAGAAAATGAAACTCCATGGCCAGTACAAAAATAAGAAGACTGGATCTGATTTAAGTTGTATTATTTTTTTTTTTTTCGAAATTATCCGATATATTTACGGTAAATACTTCAAAAGATTTCAACTTTTCTTTATAATGTAATTTAAAGACCCAACCAAAATAACGCCACTATGAGAAAATTAGTCCATGGTTCAAAACAGAAGAACAAAAAGTAAAATGTAACAATCGGGGTAGAAGGATCCAATTTCCAGGAGCTATAAATTAGCTTTGCGGGATAGGTATGAGAGGGAGTGGAACGATTCGTCTTATTTTTTGGCATGATAATATTGGGAAATTTTACCAACGAGTAAAACAACAAACCGACGGGTTTGATGCTGGCACATCCTCCTGTAGAGATGAAGAAGGAAACCTGCTGACAGATACATATAGCGTGTTGAGGATCTGAAAGGAGGATTTTGAAAAAAACTTCTGGTATCAAATAGTAGCAGTGAAGAGAATACCCCAGAACCAATAACTGATCACGGTGTAGAGTGTGTATTACCTAGTCAAGATAAGGTCAGAATAGCAATCAATCGGGCGAACTATTCAAGACTGGTGGTCAGATGCTGGTCAGTATCATTCACCAGCTGATTAGTACAATTTGGCTAGAGGAATGCATGCCCAATGATTGGTATCTCAGCATCCTGTGTCCCAAACACAAAAAAGTAGACAAGACGATATGTACCAACTATAGAGGAAAAAGTCTCCTTCCCATCCGCATAATAAGCGTACTGTGTGAACGACTAAAGCCAATGATATTATTGGACCATACCAAGGCGGCGTCAGACCTGACAAATCCACCATTTACCAGATTTTCACTCTTTGCCAAATCCTGAAAAAGTCCCACGAAAAACACATCGATACATTCCACCTATTCGTCGTCTTTAAAGCCACATTCGACAGTTTTATCCGTTCAGAAGTGTTTAAAGTCATGTCTATGTTTGGCATTCCAGCAAACTTAATACGGCTATGTAGGAGAACTTTAACTGGCAAGATCAGCAGGACCCAAGGACCTCTCGGAGCCCTTTAATACCGAACGAGGATTCAAACATGGTGACAGGTTGTCGTGCGACCTTTTTAACATACTTCTGAAAAGGTCATAGAGAGGGAAAGGTGAACATATGTTACTCGCATTCGCCGATGACATTGATATAATGGGTCGAACATTGCGAGCGGTAGCAGCCACATTTGAACAAATTAAGAAGGAGTCTGGCAAAGTGGGTCTGGCAGTAAACGGCGAGAAGACGAAGCTGATGGTATCAACGCGCAAGACGTCCAGTAGTCTCGGATCAACTGTGGAACTTGAGAACTACAGCTTCGAGGAAGTTCACGATTTTATATACCTTGTTACCGCCATAACATCAGTTTTGAAATTGTTACATGGTCTAAGTAAGAAGTTTAGGAACAAGGCCACCTCCAGCAAGACCAAACTCACAAGGCGTTGATACTATCCGTTCTTTTATATGGGTCCGAAGCATGGGTACTTACAAAACGATCTGACAACCATGAGTTGTACCATATATTCTCGGACATCGGCATTGTCAGTTCTTCACCTAGACAGCCACGTTTATTCCATGGTCAGATCACTTTCTTCGTATTAAATTTCGTTATTTTGGGGTCATAATTGTTACATCTAGAGCGCCCGAAAAAACAGACAAAATATGATTTTTGGTCCATTTCATTATTTCGCGGTGATACAAACTTCTGGGACTACACAAAGCTATAATACCCTTACAACATAGTTGTGTAGGGTATAAAAAACTTTAATTTTTCAATGTTCCGTATTTTCGGTTTGGACCATGGTCTTTTCTATATATGACCCATATTAATGTCCAGCCTCATTGTCAGTATTTTTAGGTTTTCAGTCGCATATTTCTACCGAAGTGATTCTTTTTCTACCGGGTAAATGTATTTGTAAAAAATTGGCGATAAAAGTCCCAACATAGCCCCCATGTAAAAGTGCCGTTCAATTGTCAGTATTTGAAGGTTTCAGTCGCATATTCCCATCAAAGTGGCTGTAATTTGGTATTCCGGACTCATGGATGGTGACAAATTATATAGCGAGATAATATCAATAGAGATTCGTATTTGTATATACCTCCCATCGAAAGATCACGGTCCTGTCAAGCCGCATTTTTCTAATGAAATGGAATTCCAGGGTCCTCCACAATGGGACATTTTTTGCAGAAAATATGTCTTTTTTAGACATACCTCAAATAATGTTTTACAGAAATTTTGTCAATATAGGGCGATGTTTAGACATAGCTCCTATATAAAGGTCCCGTCTATATTGGGTATTTTGAAGTTTTTTGGCTATTTACCAACCTAAGTGGTCTTGAATGGTGAAAAATACATATGTCGAAAAGTTTTGATAAGAATCTACCTTTTAACACATAAAAAATACACAGTCCCCATATAAAGAGATACCAGCCATATTTCTATTATTAAGGCCAAGGTGATTATAATTTGGCATCCTGGACTCTTAAACGATGAAACATATTTTTGTCGAAAGTTTTCGATATGGACCCATGTTTTGGCATAGTCTCCCTACATAAAGATTCTTCCCCATTTTCAGTATTTTGAGGGTTTTATTGGAATTTTCCCACCGAATTGGCTACAATTTGGCATTCCGGATTCTTGGAGGATAGAACAGATTTTTCCAGAACATATTATATATGGGTTCATGCAGCGACGTAGCCAGAGAGGGTGCCCTGGCCCCGGCCCATATATTCGGTATTTGTTCCTCTCTCTCCATTTTCGGTATTTTGAAGATTTAGCCCAAAGTGGCTAATTTAATTTCCCGGAAAAAAACTTCTTCCCAGAAAAAAAATTTGTGTCAACTATAGATGTCACAATGTCCTGGTACCCAACACAACCGATAGCTGTAAGTAAGTTCTTACAAAGCTGCTCTACACTTGAAGACGCCTCAGATTTGATATAACAAGATTTGATGGCTTTAAGAGCTGCTTGATTATCCACTAATATAGTCACCGGTTCACCGACTTCGCATCCAGACTTTTTATCAATTCCGCTGCCTTCCAAACCGCGAAGATTTCAGCTTGGAAAACACTACAGTTGCAATCCCGCTTGTAGGTTAACTCATGGCCTAGCCTTTCACAGTAGACGCCCGCCCCGGCCCCGGCCCATATATTCGGTATTTGTTCAGATTTTCTCCGAATTCTCCCACCAATTTGGCATTCCACCAAGGGTCAAAAAGTTTGGTTCAGAAGATTTTCGATTAAGTTCCATATTTTCACGTAGATGATAAAGAAGACCCTCTCCATTTTCGGTATTTTGAAGATTTAGCCCAAAGTGGCTAATTTAATTTCCCGGAAAAAAACTTATTCCCAGAAAAAAAATTTGTGTCAACTATAGATGTCACAATGTCCTGGTACCCAACACAACCGATAGATCAGATTTGATATAACAAGATTTGATGGCTTTAAGAGCTGCTTGATTATCCACTAATATAGACACCGGTTCAACGACTTCGCATCCAGACTTTTTATTTATTCCGCTGCCTTCCAAACCGCGAAGATTTCAGCTTGGAAAACACTACAGTTGCAATCCCGCTTGTAGGTTAACTCAAGGCCTAGCCTTTCACAGTAGACGCCCGCTCCTGTACCTTCTTCCATCTTGGATCCTGATCTGTATAGAAGGCCAGACCGTCCAGAGGAGGGTTACTTCGGTTCCAGTCGTCTCTACTAGGAATAACAACATCGTCAAATCTCAGGACTGGTGATATATAGTCGCTTAGTTTTACGCGGTGGTCCAATGTCATACCTGGCACGTTCAAGATACGGCCATGGCCAAAGGTAAAACTTCGCCATAGGTTTTGTTCATGCTACGCGCGGCCTGACAGTTAATGCCCAGGGGCCTAAAATTCGGCATTGCATTCAGGGCTGCTTTTGGCGTTCTCCTTCTGGCTCCTGTAAGTAAAATCTTATCTAATTTACTGGATGTCGACTTGTGGCGTAGACAGTTCCACCACACGATAACCATAGGATAGGATGGGCCTTACCACAGTGTTATACAACCAGTGTATAGTAGATGGTTTTAGAACCCAGCTTTTCCCAATGGAGTTCTTGCATGCATAGAGTGCAATCAGCCCTATCTTCGCTCGTTCCTCAGCGTTCCTATTCCATCATAGTTGACAGTCCAGGATTGTACCTAGGAACTTTGCTTCAGGAGATAGATGAAGTTGCACTCATCCATTGTTGGTGAAGCAAAAACGCAGAGCTTACGCTTCCTGACGAACATTACCAGTTCCGTCTTTGTTGGATTTACACCATGGCCGTTCATCCTGGCCCAACGCGACAGCGTCAGTAAGGCTCTTTGCATAAGCTCCGAGATTGTTGACGGAAATTTTCCGGAAATCAATATCACCACGTCGTCCGCATAAGCTACAACTTTGATACCTTTACCGTCCAGTTCCATCAGTACCAATAGCCATAGCAACGGCGAGAGCACCCCTCCGTAAGGTGTTCCTCTAGTTGCCGTTTTCCTGATGGAGGATACGTATTATAAAAATAATCTTCCTTCAAATTGATTGAAGAAATTGTCCAAAATTTTCATTTTACAGGTTCGCCATTTTGTTAAAATTTGTGTGATGTTAAAAATTCTAGTGTATACCAGACCACGACATGTACTCTTTCGAATCACAGCAATTTCTATCTTCTCTCTTCGTAATATAGTGTAGAAATTCAAAACTACTTACCTATGATCACCATACATATCCAATTGACGAACATTAATTGGAAATGGTGTAGGACCGTGCTCCTTAAGCAACTCCTGGACACGCATCAATCCATCATTATTTTCATAGATGATTGTAAAGGATTTCCAGCCCCATTGTCTGACAATGTCCACATAAGCCTAAAGCAAATTCAGACATAAGTTAAAATAAATTACAAATCTAAAAAAAGCAACAACAAAAGTATACCAACCTTTGCCAATAGATTTGGATTTGGATATAGATTTACCAGACAGCTTTCTCTACGCAAACGATAATCCCAACGATTTTCTAAATGGGGAATCTTGATTGACAAAAACAACAAAAATGAAATGCATTATTTAAAAGGTAAATTCGTTTGACCTCAATTTCGTTGCACCCGAAAACTCACCTCCATATTGTCACATATACTCTGAACATGACTGGCCGTGTGTGTGGATTGTGGACCAAATATGGCAGCAACACCGACATTTAAAAGACCGCAAACTGAAAAATGAACATGAAAGAAAAAGAGGTGAAATTCAGTTAACAGACTGTCCATATTGTGTCCCTCCTCAAAGGTCCACCCTAAGCAATAGAAGTTGATTATTTTTGTTAGTTCTTTTTTCTTCTAAATTAATTGCTTAGCAAGACCATCATCTTAAGTTTCCCCATTATATCCCTTTATAGCTCTTGACATATTCGCCTGACGACATGTGTTGCACTCTCACATCAGTGATATGTTAGAATATAAGTCTTCATCCGAACGACTTACCTGCCACATATTTCTTAGATGTATCACTTATTACCTTTTGAGAAGTGTTTGGATGTGTGTGTGTGTATTCAAGTCTGTCATCATCAGTGTCATATAACCAACTAACATCAACACATAAATGTCTAATGTGACGAAATGAAGTCGTTTATGCTGCACGATGAGCATGTTTTCAGAACATGAACATTGCATTTAGCTGCAATGTAGTTAGTGTGCATGACCCAATTTTGGGGGGTATTTTGTCAAAATCTTAAATTAAATCCAGTGAGCGGAGCAGTATAGTCGGACGGGGCCGACCATAAGATACCCTACACAACTACCACGGAACTCTAACTTTTGCGTATGTTTATTTCGAGCCTGGTCAATATTTCGTGATATTTGCTCCCCCTTGACCGATTAGAGATCAACAGCACATCTTTCTTACACTGACATATTTTCCGAATATCCCAATATTCAGTACTGCCCTTCTAATTACTTGTTCAGATTCCTTTCACCGTGGGTTGTGTTGTGATTTTCGGCTTTTGTGTTTTTTGTGCTTTTTTCGAGTCAATATATACGCCATATTGACTCGAAGAAAACACTAAAAATTTAGTTTTCGGTCCACTTTATCCCAAAAATTTAATCTGATCATCACTGAAAATTATAAGCGTTGTCCTTGACCATACCTGGATCATCAAGGAAAATTTCAAAGCGATTACTGCTATATTTCCGCCCTCTAGTGTGGTAATGTGTTACTAAATAATATATGAATACGTAAGCACCTGTAAATATTTAAATTTAACTCCCACATCCGAGTACATATAATAGGTATCAATTTAAGGGCCAACAACTCCTCTTGGATATACTAACAATTTCTCGGGCCTATGTGTTTCAGAAGTAAATATATATACACAAAAGTATAGGTCCATTTGACCCGCTAAATATTGACCGATCTTTATCAAAACAAGCTTGATTATTCTTTGGCCGATCCCCTTCTCCATGCAAAAATTCGCGATGTTTAGGCCATAATTGCGGCCTCTAGAGCGACCATAAAATCAGACAAAAATAAAATTTTTGGACCATTTCATCCCCTAAATATTTACCGATCTATAAAAAAACAATAGGGGTCTTCATTGGCCAGAACCCATCCTACATTCGAAATTTCGGGAAGATTGGTCCATAACTGTGGCCTGTATCGTGTTTACAAATTATAATGGACAGACGGAAGGACACACATGTCTAGATCGAATCACCTGGTCAAGATATGACGATCGGTATACTTAAAGTGGGTCTAGGTCCAATATTTCGTGGCGTTACAAACTCTTGGGGTTGCACAAAGCTATAATACCCTGACAACATAGTTGTGTAGGGTATAAAAATATGTATTCTAAAATCAGATTATCTACTGGCCTAGAAAAATGTCTTCGGAACATCTAAAGACAAATCTGTTCTAGAAGTGTGATCAGAATAAAATTCTTTGTCGATTTATTCGTATCCATCTGCCTATCCGTTCGTCTGTAGAAATCAGAAAGCTTTGACATTTTGCACTGGAATTTCTATTACTTCTAGAATGGTTGGTATTACAAACGCGATATATCAGTCCATCTGTTGGTGTAGCCCCCGTATAACGTTAGTAATTTGCCGCATTTGGTTCTTATTGGGTACCTAAGTCGTCTGTCTATGGTATAAAACTGATTTAGACCAAAGAAACACATAGTCTAGAACCAATATTTCGATAAATCAAATTTTTGAGCTCCAAGATTGGCAACTGAATTATTGTGAATGCTATTCAGACCCCCTTTTGATCTAGAGGATCCCTTTTATAATGCTTTATATGGCTCACTAAACTGAAATCTTCGAGCGAACATTTCAGCATCTTAAATATTTACTTAGCTGGCGATTGTTCCATAAGCCAGGCGCGTCGGTCTTGTGCGCATCTCATTCAATTTGAAAGACCATTTCCCAGATTTTGTCTTCTATTTGATCTTTCCATCGGATTCGTGGCCTTCCCCTTCTGCGTGAACCATCACTTCGCTCGCTTTTATATGCCTTTTGAGCTGGGGCATCTTCATCCACTCTGACAAGATGGTCTAGCCAACGTAGTCGCTGTAGCTCGATCCGTCTGACTATGTTGATGTCCGAGAATAGATGCTATAGTTCATGGTTCATTCGACCGCGATATTCATCATCGACGCTGATCCGCTCATAGTTTTCAAGATCCACAGTTGGTCCTTGTCTACTGGACGTCTTCCGCGTTGATACCATCAGCTATGTCTTTTCGCCATTTACTGATAGGGGCCTTTAGCCGATTGCTTCTCAATTCGTTCAAAGTTGGCTGTTACCGCTCGCAATGTTCGATGTCGTCGACGTAGGCGAGTAACACTTTCACTTTTGCCTCTCGTATGACCTTTTCCAGCAGGATGTTAAAAAGGTCACACGACAAACTATCACCTTGTCTGAATCCTCGTTCGGTATTAAATCCTCCGAAAGGTCATTTCCTTGTGCCTGCATAACAGAATTAATTTTGGAGGAATGCCAAACAAAGACATGTCTTTAAACACTTCTGAACGGATAGGGCTGTCGAATGTGCCTTTAAAGTCGACGAATAGGTGGAATGTGTCGATGTGTTTATCGTGGGGGTTTTCCCCGATTTGACGCAGTGTGAAAATCTGGTCAATGGTGAATTTGCCAGGTCTGAAGCCACATTGATATGGTCCAATAATATCATTGACCATTGGCTTCAGTCGTTCACACAGCACACTGGATAGCACTTTATATGCGATGGGAAGGAGACTTATTCCTCTATAGTTGGCACATATCGTCTTGTCTCCTTTTATGTGCACGGCACACATGATGGTGAGGTTCCAATCATTGGGCATGCATTCTTCTAGCCAAATTGAACTAATCAGCTGGTGCATGCTCCTTACCAGCATCTGACCACCAGTCTTGAATAGTTCGGCTTGTAACCCATCGGCACCTGCTGCTTTATTATTCTTCTGCCGATTGATTGCTATTCTGACTTCATCTTGAATAGGTGGTATACATTCTATACTGTCATCTATTATTTGTTCTGGGGTATCCACTTCACTGCTACTATGATACCAGAAGTTTTTCAAAGTGCTCCTTCCCGATCCTCAGCACGCTGTCTGTATCTGTCACCAGGTTTCCTTTTTTATCTCTACAGGAGGATGTGCCTGCACCAAAGCCTTCGGTTTGGTGTTTTACCCGTTGGTAGAATTTTCGGACTTCATTCTGACTCCTGTACATCTCGATTTCCTCACGCTCACGTTTTTCTTGTTCTTTCTTCTTTTTTCTGAAAGTACGTTTCTCCTCTCTCCTTTTCTCCCGATAGTTCTCCATCGCATTACGCGTTGCTACTGTCCGCAGGGTTGCCCTATACACTGCGTTTTTCATATCAGTAGCATTACGACACTCCTGATCGTACCGCGGATTTCTTGATGATGGTCTTTGGGCCCAAGTGTTGCTTTTGCTGCAGTTTGTAGGGAGTGGGAAATTCTCTGCCATTGTGCTTCAATATTATTATCGGGACAAGGGGTGCTTTTGTCAGGCAGTTGGGTGAGTTGAGCGGAGTAGGCTTCTGATATCTGTTGAATTTTCCGACGGTGAGGCCAAAGATACTTTCCCTTCCGATTTTTGTATTAAAATCTCCTAGCCGAATTTTAATGCCATGGCCAGGGCAACGATCATATCCTGTTTCTAGGTGCTCGTAAAATATGTCTTTGGTCTGCTCATATTTGTCTGCGGCAGGAGCATGGGCGCAAATGAGACTGATGTCGAAGAACTTCGCTTTTATACGGATTATACCAATTCGCTAATCTACTGGAGTGAATCTGGAGACGAGGTATTTTATTCTCCTATTAACCATAAATCCGCTGCCAAATTCACGTCTTGTTTCATGGCGACTATAATACAGGGCGTAATCATCTAATTTACTTACGCCAGTCCCTTTCCATCGCATTTCCTGTAAAGCAATAATATTGGCTTGAGTACATTCGCGCCTGTTCTGTACAACGTGCGCACATTCCAAGTGCAGATTCGCAAATCGTGGTCCTTTATACGTTTGCGGTGGTCGTCAGCATTGTGGGGATTTGGTTTTCATTTTCGTTGCTTTTTGATAGTAAGAGGGGTTTTCCGAGTGTGGGCAACTAACCCGACGCCTCAACCCATTTTTATGACACCGCGGAGAAGTCAGTGTCCACAATTGAGATAAAAAAGGGACCAAGATAAGCCTGGGCTTCGCTATGTTAAAATCAATCAGAGCATGGATCAAAAATACCTTATGGAATCTCCGAAGAATATTTTAAGATTATGCATTTTTTACAATTCGCCATGGAGGGGGACTTTCAATATACCTAAAATTTGTCCGAACTATATAGGGGTATATGCCATGATAAACTGTTGCAAAGAGAAAACGTAAATTACAGATGGGAAAATTGGGATAGGATCTTGAACATAGCAAAAATGACGCGTGGTCTTCGTATAGGGTCTATGTAGAAACATAGATTTAAACAGGAAATATTCTGTGAAGAAGTTATTTGTCCACCAGGATCCCTTAATGTAAAAATACAGCCGCTAGCACTAAAAGCAAAGATGTTTATATATCAGGGTATGTGAGATAAATTTGAAACTTCGCATTGAGTGAACTTCGGCTCAGTTTTTATAACCTATACCTAACCCTAACCTACACTTAATCGGTAACGCCTGTATATGTATTTTTTATAATCCGATTCAAA